AGACATCTAGTACATTTACCGTAACTATCAGCCTTTTTCGCCCTAGGAACGTATAGCAAAAGAATACTGCACAAGGGGATCAGAACTTAGTTGACACCCTTTATAACTTTTTTAGTGTTTTTGAATCATTCGCAATGGAAGTTTTAAAGATTATTTTGAGAAAACAACGGTTTACGATGAAAAACCGTTTAGTATTGAACAAATAAATTTGCATCTATGAGCAATACAACAGATAACTTTTGAAAGCCATTTTTACCGTTAAACATGGTTGTAGCGGGTGGACCAGATTAAACCGGCCACTTTTATTTTCTGTTTCTGAGGCAGTCAAACTTCTTTCTGAAATCCGCTTTGAGCTCGTTGCATAGGGAATTCATTTCTCTCCATGCAGCTACACAATGACATTTCTGATTAGAATGTCATTGTGTAGCTTTTCAGATCCCATCACTTACTTTTAGAGTAGTGCGTGTTGTATGATGCGTGATTGAGGATGGTTTCTTGAACGGTACAGTTGTACTGAATTGCGCTGATCGATTTGATATGCACTTTAATTCTTTGCTTTTATTTACAGAATTATGTTCGTCTCTCAATCTTTTCTTCAAATTTATCGTCATTTGTTTTCTGTCAACCTTTTCTGATAGTTGATTGTTTATTAAATATTCATCAATTGTGCGACATAATTGATTCAGACGATGTACTAATAGTTCATTACTTTCGAGAAACATGTTTTGAACTATAGCGGTTGGCAATATAATTCGGACATAATCTGCAACTAACTGATATTTAATTAGACCTAATTTATCTTCGAATGTTGATGTATTCCTGTTGTTGCTCTTTTTATCATCGGTACCACGAGCTTGCAGTTTTTCAGCATAATCGGCGTTCTGTTCAACATCTGGCTCAAATTTATGAACGAAGTTTGCATCATTCCAGGAAAAATTTATAGTTGTCTGACTCGTGGAAGATTGTGTTGTTAGTTTTCGGTCTTGTTTATCTCCTTCAACTGCAATTTTAAGTGTGATATTTGTGGTAGGCCAGCAGATGGATTTTCTCTTCTTGTTTTTAATATATGTTATTTTTTTTCTATGTTTTAATACTTTTAACTTATTTTTAACTTGATGGTAAATATGAGCACGAGGCGAATATTCTTCGAATGCACATAGTATTCGTTCAACATAGCCTACCAACTGTTCAGTTATTATATTATTCTTTAACGTTGCATCTATTTGGATAAATTTAGCAATATCGATATTAATCCGTCTATAATTCTAAAAAGGTCAACAAGACATATTGTGAGGAACTACATTGACTCTTATCGTTTGTCAACCTCTTTGAACGCAACCCATAATGAAATCGACTGCATGAAAAAAAGTAACGGAGATTATCTTTAAGAACGAATTTTGAAACAAAATTTTGTACCTAGGAATTCTTCTGGTAATTCGCTGTAAGTAAATGAAATTCGTAGAGGACGAAGTTATGCACATTGCCATATTTATTCTCACAGTATTTCATTTGGTGACGTTTAGTCTGTTCTACTTTAACATAGTTATTGCTTCTTTTAAATAATGTCTTACTCTTTCAGGTGAAATCGTTATATAATTGAAGTTTCCTAGCACGTAATCAAAGTATAAGAAATACTAGCTAATACCTGTCCGAAGCCATTTGTGCCGCCATGACATTTCAAGACAAGTGAAAGGGAAGACCCATTTTGAACATTGTAAGACGATAGATGTTGATTATCTGCTAGTTCTTTTAAGTTATATAATAACCGTTGTTCATTTTGATTTATTGACGTCTTCTTTTCAATTTTTCTCTTTACATCTCGAATTTTACATTGTGAATTAATCTATATTTAAAATAGTAGTAAGAAACAACAAAGGTGCGTCAATTATTTAACCGTTAAGGCTTTCCTTTCTACCAGCAACTTACCGAAACAGTTATTGTTGTCGCAGCTCTGACAAATAATTGAATGAAACTATTAGACCTCATCGTTCGATCGTTTTGGTCTCTTAGCACCTACAAAATACCACGATGTGTGATAGGTTTCATGAAAAAAAAAATGAGTTACTCGACTCCAGCATCCAGTGCGCAGGACAATTTTGATTAAGTCTCTTCTATATAAAATGAGTATAGATGTACTTAACAGCAAATAGCGTTAAACTGAGGTAGGATTTTAATACTTTAAGTTCACAATCTCATACAATAAACCGATGATACGTTAAAAGATTTGCCACATGCAAGAAAATTTTGAGCACTATAGCTGGTACTCCGTTTAGAAAAGAAATGTGTTCGGTAGCATCGTATTCTACTACATCACTAAAAAATCGTAGTGCTCACCGCTACTTAGAAATCAAACGACGAAACCACTGTATTACTTTGTAGCTGAGTGCTGATATTGATTTGTTAGTAAAAGCAAGTTGTTCATTCGATGGTACAATAATATGTGGTAGTTTGCTTGTTATGAAGCTATTTTTGGTTGATAGACATTTCTTTTCTGTCGAGTACTGATCTTCTTGAATGAAAAAACAGAATTAATTTATGATGAACAGGATTTTATGAACATTTTTAAATGTGATGAATCTGAAATACACGCTTAGCAAGAATGTTAATATTTTAATAGAGACTAGAGATATGCGTGATTGTCGTGATGCTTCATACTAGAAGATGATGAAAAATTTCTTCCATATTTCCCAGAAAAAAGTGTCTTGTCGATTTTTTCATTTCATGGGTTATAATAATTTCTTTCATTCTAAATGCTACGAAATCTAAGCTACAAGAATATCGTGCGATATACCGTCTCGAATAACTTTTTCAAAAAACTTCGAAAACTTATCATGACGAAGAAACTCTTGGCCATTCACATCTCTGCTGGTGAATATATGTGTTCAGTTTAGGGTTTCTTAGGTTTGCTTCCGATTATGCATAATTTCTTTCATTTACTTTTCGTTATACCCTCTTGTTTCTCTTCCAGCTGTTCATGGAATACTTTGGAAAATGGATACTTTAGAATTTTCCATTGCTTTACTTTGACTTCTCGATCACTCGTTGATGATAAATGATCTGCTAAACAAAACCATAAAAATAAAATGAATTTAAATTTCTTCAATATGAATATTGTCAGTATATCATACTAGTTGTATAGCATAGTCCTCAGTATTACTATTTGTTCAGTATACTATATTTACCATTGTTCTCCGAACGATGATTGTCAACTTCGAGTCTTCGTGCAGAATGTCTCTCCATATAGTAGACTGTTTGATAAAATGATGAAATAATCTCAAAAGAAAAGTACGTTGATTAAGTCCTGCTTTAATACTTTCGTGCTCTTCTCTTTGACATATGCACATAAATTGTATCGAGGGAATGTCATTTTATACTCAGTTCCATGTATATTGACATGTGATCTAAGTAACATATCTTTGGTTTAAACTTTATTAAAGAAGAAATAGCAGTCAAATTGCGCAACGCCCATTGCATGATGCTGGAAAAGAGAAGACAACAAGGAAACAAAGAAAAAAGAAACGAAAAAAATGAACTGAAATAATAATGTTTCAACAGACCAATGTGATGGAAACAAAAAGAAAAGAATGAGAAGAATTTTCTGTGGCGACTGTGTGATGATGTGTTAAAAATTTGCCTAAAAACAAACGAAGTCACATCATCTATTCCCGAAAGTGGTTAGACATCTTTCAGTAGATTGCTGTAGTCAACTGTCCGACTACATGGTAACATTATAATCTTTATTATTATCTGCAATCTTATAGAAAAATGTACAGATATATACATTTGTCTGTTCAAAAATATTCTCTTTTTATGGCTTTGCTCATATGGCTATTTAAGAGAGGTTTTGCCAGCCCATCGAGCATCCACCCATACAGCCATTTCATGGTGTATTTTGACATATAGTTTCTTTTACACCGATGGATTTCTCATACCAAACTGCAATTATGAAAAACTTTTTAGGCTGTTACGATTTGATTTGCCGGAGCTATAGGTGTTGCAACACGAAGGACCGAATAACCTGAAAAAAAGTCATCTATAGTGTTTTGTCTATATCTTCGCCACTTTTTGTCCTTTTTGATCAGGGAACATCTCATTCGAATGAGAACATAAAACTGAACAAAAAGGTCTTGTATAGCTTCCTCAAAAACTGGAATCTTGATATGCCAAAAGAAATTTCTTAAGAATTGTGTTTTTCTAAACTCATTTTTTTCTATTGTAAGCAATTTTTCAACATGATGTTTTATCGATGAAAATTTTTATATAGTGCATCTTGTAGAGAATCCTGTTCTACAAAACCCACATAAAGACTCTGAAAAAAGTTCCGGAAAGCATTCAAAACTGCGAAAACAAGGAAGGTTGACACTCGAAATATAGCAAAACAACAAAATAATACGATTTTTATTGAAAATAAACTATTTATCGTAGAAATAAAATATCTAAATCAATTCTTCATAATCAAACTGATATAGGAATATGTTTTCTCAAATTTCTTTCTAAAGTTAGCCACCTAGTAATAAGAAACAAATTATAAATTGCGGAAAATCGATGTTGAAAAACTTGAACGTTTTTACTATGTCATAGGGATTGACAAGGACATGTTAAATTTGCAAAAAGTTGATGAAGTAAAACTCTAGTTTCATTTCCGGTTAAACTTCGACCTTTGAAATCGAGAATATCAACATTGATTCAAGTTATAACTATAAGTAAAGGAATATTCGTTCATAATTTATTTGAAAAATGACCCAGATATAGTCATAATACAAATATCGATAACAGACAATGTTGAATAGTTATTTTTTTCTTCGGCGGCTGCAGCGACTATTAATTACATTTTGGATAAAGGCAGCGCGTGTTCGTCTGTCTTGTATCAATGAATAAAAACAGTTATTAATTTTTTTTGCTATCACTCATACACATATCTAAAAAGTGATTATTTTGTACAGGTAAATCAGATATTCGTAGATTTTGTTTGTTTTTGTAAATCATATATCATTGTTAGTCTTACATACTTGCTTTTGACGTTTAATCATGGATTTTATAATTTCCTCTTTTTAACAGAAGTATTAGTTTTACTTATTAAACCTTTCAGGATAGAGCTCCTATTGTATGATCGCGCTTGTTGATTTTCTATCCCATGGATTCGAAAAGTCAATAGAATATTTTAATTCTATTCACGAAACAAAGTGCAAAGGTCCTTATACGAGCCATATACTATCGGAAAGAAGCTAGAACTTTCTATATAGCGGCTTCATAAATCTACAATGGACGCAAGATATATAGAGAAAAATGCCAACTACAACATCTACTGCTTACAGTCAGTGTATTTTTTACGGATACTGGCTGTAGTTTTGATTTGATTTTACATCGTTTTTCTGAGCTTTTTTATCCGCCAAAAAATCCACGCTGTTTTCGTGATTGTGAGAGTACCTTGGAATTACTACGTCTTCGGAGCAATCAGTTTACAGAAAAAAAATTTGATTTGAATACGACAGTGGTGTGTAAAAAGCGCTTTAAAAATCTGTGTAAAGCGAAAGAACCGATTACTGTAAATAAATGTGTAATTTATGTTCTCATTCGAATGAGATGTTCCCTGATCAAAAAGGACAAAAAGTGGCGAAGATATAGACAAAACACTATAGATGACTTTTTTTCAGGTTATTCGGTCCTTCGTGTTGCAACACCTATAGC